TCTGTAGAACTCCCCAGGTGTCAGTAGGTTTTGCACGTCAAGTCAGCTCAATGGTGAGATCAAGACATTATCGTCACTGGTTTTTTTTAGGGATAAAATCTATACTGATGTATGTTGTCAAAATAACAGTATGTTGCAGATTGAAACACATGTAATGACCTTGGAAAAACTTTCTTATTTTTATTCATGACCTCCTTAATTGTATTTCTGTTCCACTGTGGCATTCCCAGTAAGTTATGGTATTTTTCAGAAGTTCAGGGAACCAGTGATTACCTTTGGCTTTACTGTTTGTGATTTTTTTATTTTAGCAGTAATTTGGCTAAGTGATCTGAGTAAAGAAAGCATTAATAAATGTATTGCATGTGAAGAAATTATGATGATATGTGAAGAAAACCACTTAAGAAATGGATGCATAGTTGACCTTAAAAGTTGACAAACGTATCATGAGGGCTTTGTTTGATATATATTTCTGGTGCAGAGAGACGTTGCCTCACCTTCAAAGTTTGAAGGTGATGAACAGGGCCCAGAGCTGTTTCTACAAGTTAGAAAGATGAGGATGTCTTTCAGGAACATATCTTTTTGATGCAAATAGACCATTTATAGATTCTGTGCTAATATTTATAAAACTTAATGAATGATCAAGGGTATTTGTAGTTTGGAAGGTACTGAAGGAATTGGAAGGAATTCTATAGAATCATAGAATGGTTTAGGTTGGAAAGGTCCTTAAAGATCATCGAGCTCCAACCTCCCTGCCATGGGCAGAGACACCTCCCACTAGACCAGGTTGCCCAAGGCCACGTCCAGCCTGGCCTTGAACGCCTAATGGGGCCTCAACAACCTCTCTGGGCAACCTCTTCTAGTGCCTTACAACCCTCAAAGTGAAAAGCTTCTTCCTAATGGTTAATCTAAACCTGCCCTCTTCCAGTTTATAGCCATTCCCGCTCGTCCTGTCACTACATGCCCTAGTAAAAAGTCCTTCCCATGCTCTCCTGTAGGCCCCCTTTAGGTACTGGAAGGCCGCAATAAGATCTCCCCGGAGCCTTCTCTTCTCCAGGCTGAACAGCCCCAACTCTCTCAGCCTCTCAAGCCTCTCTCTATGCACACACTTCATACATATATGCTATATTTTTCAACTACTTTCAATCTACTGTCATTATTATTAAGGTCCAAGTTAACGGACATTAGTGTTTTATCTCTGCAATTCCTGGCCTGTAGACAAAAGGTAGGTTTTGGTAAAGTGGAATAAGAAGGTTAAATAAAAGGCTTGCAAGCTTGAGTCTTCTTAGTGACACATCTGAACTGCTGCCATTCATCCAGTGGAGAGAAGGGGCATCAGTGAATTCTTGCTAGAGCTGTACAAATTCATTTACCCTTGCATTTGAACTGACATGCTTCCAAAGCTTCTTTGATAACATCCTCTACTTTCAGCTTGTGTTTATCTTTTAGGAATAAGGCTGTTGCATAAAATGCTGGAGGCACTGAGGACCTCTGTGTGTGTTTATGCATTATTCACGTAGCTGAACTCATAGTCTCAAAATGTAAAAAATATTTTATTTATGTTCAGTATTATTTAGTTATATATAAAAAAACATTACCTGAGCCTGCCTCAAAAACTGTTGGTTGTAGCCCTGAAATATCTAGCTTCAGAAAAGGAACAAAAAATAGTTACACTACAGTTTTAATGTCGTAATAAACTCTTGTACCTTTTTTTTTCCCCCAGGTCATTATTATTTTCTATCAAGTGAGTGTTTAATTGGAAGGCACTTTTATAAGCACAGAATTTATCATGAAATTAAATGGCTAATATTAAATATCTGATCTTCCATAACTACTATTGTAATACTGTTCTGGTATTTTGTGAAATTATCGTCTGACAAAATGCCATAAACTTATGATATTACATAGAACAGAAGAATACACAGGAAAAATTACAAAATTTGGAGAAAAAATGTGTCCAGAGTTACATCATGAATTTCACAGGGTGTTGGAACTGTGTATTTGAAAGGGAGTTTGAACATATAACAATATGTAATGGTAGAGACTGAATATATGTAAATGTATTTGTTTTAAATCATACACAGATTGATATTTGTTCTCAGAAAGAATGCATACATCTGTGCTACATCCAGAACTGAACACAAATTCTTTATATGTGTTAACAGGATGAAGGCAGACACAAATATTTATTAAATAAATGCATGTGTTTACCTGCCTTTGTGTTCCTGTATACGCTTATACACAGGCATATCTATATGTCTTACATGAACTTCTGTAAGATTCTAAAACCTGTATTGAAGCATACAAAGTTATTGCTGATGTTTGATGATCGTTGTGATGTGGAGTCTGCTAATTGCAAGTGGTTTAATTTACTCATGTTTTTATAAATGTCTAAAGCACTATCATGATAACTGCCATTAAAGAATCATTTTTCTCTATTTTTCTTAGATTTTACTACAGGCAGTAGAGAGCTGCCTTTACTCAGACTGTCAGCTTAGTTGTATGTATCTTACATGATTCCTGTGCTTAAAGGACAGTACAGTAGAGGAAAAAGCAGAATGTAAGAACAGTAGAGGTTTGTAGAAGAGAAAGATAACTCAATTTCCTTTCCAGAAAGTAGGACATGGAGAGTGAAACTCTCTCACCAGGCTAACATTTGGAAGTCTGTGTTTCTAGGGGTTTAGGGAGTTACAAAAAAATGATAATAATTTGCTTATGATAAATAATAAACTCAAATAGTCCGAGTTAAGAATATTAGAAGAGCAGTTTGGTCTTCGAGTATTACCATAGACCATTGGCTAACTTTTATTCCATATTTCATCAGAGTTGTATTTGTGCATGAAATTGTATATTCAAAAAGGATTCATCCTTATAACCTTGGGGATTTTTCCCCCCCATAGTCATTATTGAAGTCCTGCTGGAGTTTCTCCCTTATGAAAATATACACTATAAAATGTATGTAAAAAAATGCCTTTTTCCACCATTAAAATGTGGGAACAAGAGTATATCTAAAAACTGATTGAAAATTAAAATATTAGAGTTTTGTTACAGGCTCTATTCCCCCTTACCATCTCTTATTTAGTTTCGTTTATTTCAGAGGAATTGTTCACAGCATGTAACATCAGAATAAAATATTCTTCCATCTAAAGATAGGTATTGGGTAACTAATATCTATTAGAAATAAACTTTTGGAGAGGTGAGTAATTTAATACAGATTAATATTCTGTAGTGGCCTCAACAACCCAGATTATCATTTGGATGGAGAATTCACAGTGAGGACTGAAGTGACAAATGCTCAAAATCTCTTGGGGGAACAGGTGAATCAGGTCTGGTGAGATGCCTGAAATAAATGCGTTTGCAGGAGCAGTTCCACTCCTGAGTAACTTACCGTTCTTTTCAGCTGTTCCTGTGTATTTACCTGGGATTAAATATGGGAAACTTTAACCAGAGCAATACTAGTGTAAAAAACAATGGGCAAATCCAAAAATGTCATTAGTGTTCTAAAAATATTGGGAGTTAACGACAGAATTGTCTGCAGCTTTGAACTATTTTGTATGCTGGTAAATATGCCTTGGCTTTTTTATGTATGGATGTGCAGCATTGCAGTGTAGCTGTTGCTTTATAAATATGTATCTGTGTTAACATATTTTAAAGATAAACGGTTCACAGTTATCGGTTCCATACAAAGCAGTGGATGTTTGGAACAGGTTAAAAATTATATAGATTTCATATAACATTTTACTTCTGTAGAATTATGCTTACTTTTCTAAAAAGGATGGCAACTACAGTGCTTTATTTAGGGTTTACAGTTAAAGCAAATTGTTTGTGAATAGAGATGATATCAAACCTGTATTTTCATGTCCATCCTTTAAACTGCTGTATGCCTTTCCCTGTGACATGAGAGTCCGCCAGAAAAGTACCATCATGTTCTGCAGCAACCCACGTGTCTGCTGGTGATACGGTTCCAGCCCGGCAGACTGTGTAGCAGTGGAGCCCTGGATGCTTTCCTCGAACGGGGTCACCAGTTTGAGTCTCCCTCCTCTGCTCAGTCATTCTTCTATCTGAAATTATATCAGCTTAATGTCTTTGAAACTATGGCCCCTCTCTAAATTTCTTTGACATTTAGTGAAAGATTAAAAAATTAGTAAGAGGTGAATGAGAATGAGACCATTGCATAAGCCTCGCTTCTTTAGGATACCTGGGAAATCAACAAAACCCTCTAGACTACAGATGAAATGTTTTGGTGAGGTAATAATATAAAATTTATTTCAGATAGGCTGTTAAAAATGCTTTAATTAATGGTTTTGTTTGTTGTTTTTATGACGGAATCTTGCACACTAGGTCATATATTTTTTGTGTATTTCAAATAAGCATTAAAAAAAACAAGTTTACCTCATATTTTAAAATCATTTCTTGAAACTGTATTGAGCGAGTTCCAGAAAATGCAGATAATTTTGAATCCTACACTGTTCAATAGTGAAGTGACTGGGGAGGTGGTCTGTTTCCTGGCATCCCTTCCAAACTGCTATGTTGCCCTGATGATTTAGTTGCTGTTCCTGAAAGGAATACTTCTTGCAGTGATAAAAGAGCACTTGCAATTTTGATTAGGAAGTTCTGTGATATTCCCAGACTGCTGCTTTGCAGAGATATGGTGCCAAATGTTATGGTAATTTAAAGTAAGTGCAACCCCCACTAAGTAACTGGAACTGCACAGAATGTAAATTGTGGAAGAATTTGTCCTGTTAGGATGTCTCAGCGTGGAACAAGAGCTTGCGTGAAGGTATATATTTGAATTATTTTAGAACTGTTGATTTTAAGTAAAGCCTACTATTTATGTTATTTAAGGTATTTTGATACTTTGAAATATTTTGCATAGTGTTATATATTCTACATAAAAAGCAGCAGATTCACTATTCTAAATGAGGACATCAATTTTTCTATTATTTCGCATGTAAATGTGAAACTAGATTAAAAGCATTCCCTTTTCTTTTTATCTCTGTAAGTCTCAGACAGTTTGGACCCTGGATGCCATGGATGTCAGACCTGGAGGTTCCCCAAGGCAGAAACTCTTAAAGGACTCCTTAGCAGCAAAAGAACTTCAGACCATGGAAAAACACCTAGCTGGTATGTATGGCAGGGTAACAACGGATCATAAACTGCCTAGCAGTACTCACCCAGCCAGCTCTGCCAATATTTTAGACGAAGGAAAAAAATTACCTGTCTCACATGCTGATGAAAACAGAGAAAAACTTCAAACTTCCCTTTTTCTTCATGAGGAGAAACAGCACAATTATTGTTGTGTTTGTAGATGTAATGAACTTTGCTGTAATTATGGTAAATACAGTAATTAAACAGTAATTAAACTGTGTTAAATATACTGTAGTCTGACAGCTTAATAACACACTTTTTTTTTTTGTTTTCACATTTCCCCAAGACATGCAATAAGGAGGTGCTGATGCTTCACCTGCAGCTAAGTAGTCTTTAGAAGAGGCTGCAGTGGACCTTTAGCTTGAGAATAGATCGCTTTGCAAGAAAAACCCACCTTGTTCTGGAGACTTCTGGCTAAGTGAAGTCTGTTAACTTGTGTGCAGTGGAACATCTGCAACATCTTTGATGGAGTAACCATTTCTAAAAGGTCAAACAAAAAAAAACCCCTTTTTTTTTTCCCCAGTGAAAATGTGTTTCAGAGCTGTATAAAAATTAATGAGGGATATCCTAGGATATAGTTTGCAATTTATTGTTCTTTGTAATCACTGTTTTCTTATCTTCAGCTTTAGTGATAAGGTATGACTTAGACCTATAGCATGGTAGTCCTATATTATGCATGCTATTTGTCATATGGTGAAAGCTACACTTCATGGGCCAACTCTACGAAAAGTAATGCAGAACTGCAACACAAAGACCGTGTGTCTAAGGTGGAGGGAGAAATAAAATTTATCTGACCTTTCTTTCAAGAAATTCAGAGAGTGAGGTAGAGAACTTACCACTTTCAGTGTGATTTTCTAAAAGACTTTGGATGTTTATCCTACCAATAATATTGGTGTGAAAGGCTTGGGAGCTGTATCCTTTTTAGAGAGGTACAGCTGTTGTACCTCTGTCTAGGGGCTGTTGCAGCTGAAATCAAGGCAGAAGAGAAAGCTGCAAGCACAATAAGGGAAACACTTTAGAAAAAAGTTTTGCTTGGAATGGAACAAGAACTAAAAATGATGATGTCTACAAATGAAGACATTTTAGACAGTGTTTGTTTCTGACAACAGAGGCACTGTCATTCAATTGTTTTTGACAGATTCAAGTCACAGTAGCTATTAGAGATGTTGCCACTGCCAAACTAAACTGAAATCCATGAGCCCCCTCCAAGCTGAAACTGCCAGGAACATCTAGTAGGAGCCCAGAGACCAGCAGGCTGAGCTGTTTCTGTGGTGTAGCAGGGACCTGAATACCCCAGGGGCCTCTGCCACTGAGGTGCCACTCGCCTTCCCATGTGTTGCTGCACTTCTTTACACAGGAGGAGTCTGGTGAACATTGCCCTACTTTGATTTATGTCCTAACTGGTCACATTTCCATGGTTGTACAAGCTGTTCTTGTATGCAGTATGCTCTGAAAGATGCAGTTCCTTTAGATCTCCTTTGACAAAGCTGACAGTTATATCTACTATATTCAATAGAATATGGAATTTTAAATACTTAATTGACCGTAAGCTAACTAGCTACATTCAGTTAGTCTCTGAGATTCAGTCTGCTGTTGTGTGACCTACAAGGTCTTCTCTCTCACATCAATGCTGCTGTTGTCACTTGGCTTTGGGCCCGTTATTTCAGTAACACTGTGACATGGGGTTCAGTCGTTCTACCATGCAGTAATTTTTGACTGCCTGAGAAATTCACGAGAAAAAAGCCCAATTATTAGACATTGGACTCTTGTATTCCTAATAATTCATGTCCTATTATAACACCAGTCCTGCTTGAGACAATTATTGCCCTAACAGATGAGCATAATGTCATTTCTATGAAGAATCAGCTCAGATAATAATGCTGTGGTTTTGCTTAGCCTTATTTGTCTCACATATTTGCAAAAGTTCAAGTGCCTCTACATCAGCAAATCTCCTTGTTTCACTTCTCTTAGCAAGCGTGCTGGAACCTATCAATTCTACCCAATACTAGGCAGTCATTTAGATGCCTGAATTATGACTTGGATTACCTGTATAACGATGAAACATGGTCCCCTGTCTCAGATACAACTTCTTAAGGGGCCTGGCTTTCTCTTATGGACTATGTGCTGGATAAAACTCACTCCTAACATAAGGCACAATTTGGTGCCCGTGCCTAAATTAGGGTCTAGCACCAACTGCTAGCAACTGCCTCAGTACCTTGATAGCTGAAAGCAGCAATTTTACAAAATCAGACGCTGAAGCTGTCAGTTTTCTTTTCCCTCTCTCCATATGGCTCGTAGTACTTTTGTGTAAGATCCAGTATCTTAGGTTACTGTGGCTGCTTTATATCACATGCAAGTGGAGGATATATTTTTTTGGTATTTAATTCCAGTATCTTGCCAATTTGGTTTGTTAAACTGATTGTGTGGTCATTGGATACTTCTGGAATATAGTTTGTCACAAGAAGAACTGTTAAATGCATAAACAGTTTGTAAGTGCCTTATGAATCACATCCTTATTCTGGTATTTCTGATATGAAAGTAAAATGCGATTGTGTTGCTTTGTTGCCTGCATTTTATTTTCCTTTAAATGACATTGTCAAGGGATTTAAAAAATCCCTTATTTACTATGGATCAGATAATACTGTAAAGCTGGAGATGTGTGATTTTTTTTTCTTTCTGGTTGAAAAGCTGAGATTGAAGCAAAATCAAAAAGAGGATGTGTGCTAAATAAAACTGAATAATCACACAATGAAAACATTTTAATTATATGTGGAGAACTTATTAGAATAATTGATTTATCTGCAGGCTTGATTACTATATGGAATTAAGGAAACATGAGCCAGAATAAAATGTTTATTTAACTTATTAAATCATGCAATATTCAGATAATTTCTTAGCATACTGAATCATCGTGGGGAAGTTAGAGGTCTGTGATGTTGCAAAGGCATAAGCTAAGCTGAATCTTTAAAAGAACCTTTTCCTCATTTGGTTTAAATTGGCTACCCACATTGTCATTGCCCCTGAATTTTTGCCAGACATATTACAAGTTCGAAAGTGATGTGTATTGTTTTTTTTTAAAAGCATAATGGAAAAGTACTTCAAGACATAATTATTTCAAAATGGAAAAAAATAATTTTAAGAGGTCAGCAAGGTAGCAATTGGAAATATTCTTAACTGTTTACTAGAAACAATAACTGTTTTGAAACTTGCTAACAGCAAAACATTTAAGATGAGACACACTTCTATCTGAGGCTTTCACAACTATTTCAGTTTTACCAGCTTTTCTAGTAATAACATTTGAAATCATAGAATGGTTTAGGTTGGAAGCGACCTTGAAGATCATCGAGTTCCAACCCCCCTGCCATGGGCAGAGACACCTCCCACTAGACCAGGTCGCTCAAAGCCCCATCCAGCCTGGCCTTGAACACCTCCAGGGATGGGGCATCCACAGCTTCCCTGGGCAACCTCTTCCAGTGCCTCACCACCCTTAAAGTGAAAAATTTCTTCCTAATATTTAATCTAAACCTGCCCTCTTCCAGTTTAAAGCCGTTCCCCCTTGTCCTATCACTACATGCCCTAGTAAAAAGTCCCTCCCCAGCTCTCCTGTAGGCACCCTTTAGGTACTGGAAGGCCGCAATAAGATCTCCCCGGAGCCTTCTCTTCTCCAGGCTGAACAGCCCCAACTCTCTCAGCCTCTCCTCATAGCAGAGGTGCTCCAGCCCTCAGATCATCTTCATGGCCCTCCTCTGGACCCACTCCAACAGGTCCATGTCCTTCTTATGTTGGGGACTCCAGAGCTGGACGCAGCTTCTATTAGACTAGTAACATGAAATTGACATAGCTTGTTTTCCTGTTTTCAAGGTGTTATTATAAAATAAGTTAATGTTAAGGGCATCACATCTTTAATTATTTTACATGCAGCATTCCTTCTGTACCTACTGGTAAACATGAGTGAAAGAAAATCTGATTTTACCTGCCCTCTTCCAGTTTAAAGCCGTTAATGCCCAATATGCAGTATAGAGTCTGTTTCTTTTAGGACTTTTAGAACACGAAGTTATTGTTATCAAAATAAAAATGAAATGCTTGTTTTATATAAGTTCACTTAATAGGTGTTTAAATCAGTAGAGCCTTGCTAATTTACAGCTTCTGAGACTGTGACTTATACAGTTTAATGGGAATCACATTGCTTTGCTAAAGATAACCAACTATCCCTTTCAAAACCAAGTTACAGTAGACTACATCAGTGAAAGTGAAAAGTCATAACAGTTGTGAAAGAAAATAAACTTGAGTAAACTGTTCCTTAAGCTTGATATTTTTACTTGCAAGGACTTTCAGTATGTTAGCAATGCCAAACTAAATTCCAGCCACCCTCACCTAACTTTGTTGGATATATCTGATTTAATTAATTAGAAAAATTAATATAATTTAATTGAATTCAGAAGACATTTTTCATCACTACCCCTGATCTGTTCTGGTTTTAAATAGGGTCTTATTCCTTATGGCTGTGTGAGGGGTAGGGACTGGACCACCAAATGGCGGCCACCTTTTCTTCTTGGATTCTAGGTGTTGGTGACCCCATCACCTGCTGTTGCAATGATGGCAGGCCAGAGCACAAAATTCAGATTCAAACCGGATCACAGATCCAGATGTGCCAGATATCAAGCGTTATTTCCCCCAGAGTTTTGGCTGTGCAATAGACAGCGAGGCCAGAAGACAAATTCTCATCTTGAACCAGTTTTCGCTTGCCCTTCACTGCAGCTGAGGATGGGAAGTTTAGCTCACTGCTCCATCTTGGTTTGATACCAATGAGAAACTATGCAAAAGCTACAGAGAGAGAATTTTGAAGAAACGAGAGGGAATTTTACAAGTTGTATTGACATTCAATGAAGTGGTGATATTTCGTTTCTGTGGGATAGCTCTGTTTGCAGTAAATCAAATCTAAATAAACTTTGACGAAATGCTTGTCAAACATTTGAACATTTCTGATACCCTATATTTTAAGTGTGAAAAGGTTGTCACTTACATTGGAGAAAATCAAGAAGAGTTTTAAATCAGAGAGAAACAGAAAGTGAATTTCTTTCTTTCTTCTCTTTTCTGTTTGTGTGTGTGTGCACAGATATTGAGAAGGACCTAGCACTATGGGAAGAAGCAAGGCTCTCAAGAAGCCCTACTGTCCAACATCATAATTTAGTTACATCTGACCATCAAGGAAATCTTCAAGCTACACAGGGCCAAAATCCAAGGCCTCAGGTGCAAACTCAGACAGGGAAGAACATTCAGCTCCAAGGAAACAAATCACCACCGCTGCCCACCAACAGCAGAACACTGGTCTCCAGTGTTGCAAACAGTAGGCCTCCAACGCCTGGTACACAAACCAACAGGCCACCAACTCCATCAACTCCAGGGAGTAGGCCTGTGACCCCGAATAGCTTGCTGTCCCGGCCTCTTACCCCTAGCAACCAAGGAAATAGGGAAGGCATCATTAGTATGCAAAGAAGCAGATCTTTGACATCTAAGAGCCAAATGGGGAGGACCCTCAGCGCTGCTTCAGGGCTTTCTGTGCAAATGAGTGGAGACATTGTTGGAACTGTCACTACTCAGAGAAGCAGTTTATCAGAAGTAAGATTTTCAATTTAATGTTTTTGCTATGTTTAAGAGCTACTATTACATGAAGATAGATTGTGTTTTATGTTGAAGTAACATCAGTGTACCTAATGTAACTTACTACTCTGAGAAGAATTGAAATATAATGATGAGAAAATTAGCAAAGAAAGACAGCTCAGCTTTGAGAGGTACTGATTAGAGAATGTCAGGATTGTTACAGAAATCTGAAACACTCCTGCCCCTCAAATTTTCCATGAGCTCTGTAGGGTTTTGCCTGCATGATGCATAGCAGTTTTATTAGCCTTATGGTTTCCAAGAGGTGTGCACCTCTGAAATATTAAACACAACTATGTCTTATCTTTATGATTCCAGGGTTTGTTTTGTTTTGGTTTTTTTTTTTTGGTTTTTTTTTTTGCTGCTGCACTGGCAGTGCATAGGATTTCCTTAGTCTTTCATTTTTTGGACACATTGGAATGATTAGTTAGGCATCGCTGAATGGACAACTTTTCTGAAACACAAAACTGAACCACAATGAGGAAATGTCCGACATCACTGAGTCACTCTCTAGTACTATGTGCGTGTTAACTAGGTTGATTCAGAGCATAAAAACTTCCTGTCCCATATTAATGGCTTTTATGGGATTAGTCTTTGTTTAAAACAAAACAAAGGAAAAAGTTAAAGTACCTTGTACATTTTGAGTGGGATTCTCCTCTGCTAACCTTAGCTGCCTTAAAGATAACTTTAGTGTGTAGGCAGTGGAAATAAAAGCACCTGTGAAAGAATAGCCCCGCTGTCTATCTCAGATACATGCCTTACAAAGGTGAGTTTTTTTCTCAGGAAATGTCAATCCTTTTATACAGACTTGAGAAGGACCTAGATGTCTGGATTGCTAATTTTTTAATGGTGGAATAAGTCGGTTCCCACCATTTAGTACCAATCTCTTTGTAATCCATTTGTCAAAGCCTGGAGAGCTTTTTTCCAAGACTGAAAAAAATATCATAACTTTAGATAATAATTTCTGAGAAGTATCATTTGTTTTAAAAATCTGTTGGGTATGACACTTGACAACAATGTATTCTCAGTCTAATGACTTTTTAAAAAGATTAAAAGTGTTGTTTATAATAATATTGTTTAGAGATGCTCGTAGGAAAATTAGATATTTGTTACTTAGTATAATCTTGCAATTAAGTATATAGCCTCCATTATTTATTATGAAAGAAAGGAAACGAGGCACAGATAACTCTAAAACTGAAGTATTTGGGGAGGAAATCTTACTTAAATTTGGTGGTTGACAAAACCCCCTCATTTTGATGTTTGAATGGCAGTGCACTAATCCCATCACTCAAGCTACTTCACCTAGAACTGGGTATCCAACTTAAACATATGAGGACTGAAGGTGACTACAGATTTGTTGAAAGTATCTTCACTGAAAGTTGATATCTTTTCAAATGAAGTTTTCCATGTAAAAAAATATGTAATTGTAACAGATATCTTTTTTGACAAGCAAAAAACCCTTTGTTTCCTGTTTTGAGGGGTTTGCGTTTGTGTGTTGGAATTTTCTCACATACCTGAAAATGAGAACTGAAATTCATTTTTAACTAAAAATGTTCAGAAGAAATGAAGGGTTTCATTTTTTCCCACTAAAGACTTCTCTTTTTCTTTCTTTCTTTTTAAGTGGTCCTGTTGCTAACTGATACATAGTCATGTGATGCCAACTAGAATTATTGTATAGACTCCTGATAGTGCCATGTAATGAGCACTGCATCTACACCAAGGGACATCCAGTCTGTCCACCAATTCTGGTCTTTCCTGTAACAAGGCAGGCAATTAAAAATGCTTTCTTCCACAGCCTTTCTGTAGTTATAGTAATAATAACCATGAGTCCCATTTCATTTGCTTTGACTTGTTACTTCTGTTTGCCAAATCCCAAGCTTTGCTGATAGCTCTTACAATGTGTCCTGTTATACTTTTAATATATCATGTATATATATGTCTCAAGAACTTGAAGAAATGAGCAATATTATTATCCTGTTTTACAGTTAGAATGGCATGTCCAGTTTCATCCAGCAAGTCCACTGTAATGCTGGTGTTAAATCTCAGCATTTCTATACAGGATCTTATCCTCTATTATAATCCCTTCTAGAAGTGACAAATTCTTTTCTTTCTCTTTGCTCACTGGGTACAATAGTATGTTGGCTGCTAGTGACCCAGCTCCAACCCTATTTATTCCTTCCTGACATGCACAAGTGACCTTTGACTTAATGAAATCTCATCTTGGGACTAGCTCTGCTTCCAAGGGGAAAAGTGCTAATATGATATGTTCATACTGAAGACCTTCCTCTGTCAAGCTATAAAGGCCATCAGATGTCAGAGAGTAGCTGATGGAGGTCTGGCCAATCTGCTGCTCCCAGCTCCGTGTTTGGAGTGCTATACTGGAAACTTTGGGAGCTCTTTTAAGCTGTCTTTGCCCACTTAAGTTTCTGGTCACTTAGAGAAGTGGGTTTAGACAGAACTTTCCCAGGAAGTATCTCTGTTCAGTGACATTTTTTGCTGTGTTAGAGGTGTCCCTCTATTTGTGGCCATGTGGTTTCATTCTCTTGTGTAACCGCTTCTCTCTGACCATGGAGACAAATTTTAAAAAGTCAAGGGTTGTCTGGGATAGAACAACAACAAAGTTCTGTCTTTCTTTGTACTTCTACAGATCAAAAACATATAAAACTAAAGGCTGATACTGTAAATTATTTTGCAACTTTCATTGTAGGTTTTGTATCATCTTCCTGTATAAAAACAGTAAAATAAAAGAAGGGAAAGTGCCTTTATTCTTCTTAGACTTACGGTGTTAACTGGGAATCTCCACTAGATGTAAATACACTGTGGTTATATTGCCAATCCTATAGAAGATACTATGATAAGATTTTGCAAATAGTTCTGCTTCCTTACTCTTAGACGGTGTTAATGGAATTAACCAGTACAAAGTTGATACATATTTGATGAGAATAAGTCAATTGAAAAGGATGCAGTTACTGGGTACCAGAAGCATGTTTTAGCATAAGGAGCTTGAATTAAAGAATTCAGAATCTGCATGGGTTTACACTGTGTGTGCTGTCCCTTGTTTATTTATGAGGAATTATAACATATCTCTCAATGCCTTATGTATGCTTCCTAGTTTGTAACGTGTTTTAAAGTAACAATGCTAAAATATTACTGATAAATACAAATCAGAGTTCTTAAGTTGTAGTAAAGTTCATGCTGTAGCTCAGGATGGTTCAATCTTGTTATAGCACAAATCTTAAATAATTTGGCAAGTACTTAACATATCAGCTGTTAAGAATGTTTTAGGTTTTTTTAATGCTCAAGACATAACGATCTGAGATTATGTGGATGAGTTTCTGCCTCTTGGCACACATAATATTACAAAGTTCTAACAGGTGTGTTTTATTATCAGCTCTGTTCGAGGCTGAATTGAATTATAGCAAAGAAATGCTACCTAGAGAAATAGTTTTATTATCTCTATAAAACTAATAAATCAGGGTTCCAAATCCTTTGGCAGAGATACTTTTGTGCATTTACGTTATCCTTTGGTGTTTTGTATAAATTGACAAAGGAATGTTGAATCCTGCTTATCTCTTTAGGATGGATTCCATTAAAGTGACACAATTCTGTGATGGTTATCGATAGCTGTTGAGATGAAAATACTACTGACTCCCTTGTTTGCCATTTCATCTTCTGAATACTTGGAATTTTACAATCACTTTATTTATCCAGATAGTTTAAAGTGGTATTCAGTAATCTTTATTGGTCTGTCATTGTTAACAGTGAGAAAATTCAGCTTTCATATATATATATAGCATTGATTAACACAAGTCTTACTTCTGCTTACTGGAGTATAGACCATAATTTGATGTGATGAGGTCTCTCTTGTTGGTCGGATACTTCCATTCTGTTCTGGTGCCTCGCTCAGTTCTTTGCTCTGTGTTTTTGGAAGACTAAAAAGTGTGATGATCACTGTGGGAGCCACTCACTCCTACTGCAAGAATCCTGTTCCGTGAACCAAAAGACCTTGTCCACTCCAGTGTTGTGGTCAGCAAGCTTCTCACACACTGAACACTCATGAAATGGCAATACATGCGTAAGAGCTGGAGCTCGTCCCTGAGCTTAGTGTTGGGCCATTACAGCAGTCTTTGTGGATTTTTTTAACAGATTACTGACACAATCATTTACTCCCTGTGAGTTATAGATCTTGATTGAACAGCCTCTGGTCTCCAAGAACTGATTTAAACAAGCCTGGTTTCTGTTTTTAAACCAGATAGCCTAACAATAAAAGTTTTGCTGTAGCGCTGTACAATGCAGTTTAACTTTGAATATGTAGATACTGTTTTTCAGCTGGTGTAAAAGAAGACATGGCTATTACCCACCCCCACCCGCACCTCCCCCCCCCTTTTTTTTTTCAGGTACTTATAAGAATCTGGCCAGTAATTTTATGGTATGTGGGCAATGTTTAAGTTCTCTTTTAGAGACTAGACTTGCGTGTTTGAACTTCTTTTGATAATAAAACTATGCATTCCAATCTCATCGCTTACCTTGAATATTGCAGAGGAACCTGTCAAGCTATTTTATATGTCTGTGTGTGTACGTGCTCGCATACTCACATATGGAAAAATATTTTTATATACATATATATAAATAAAAAAGGAGGCAATTGTAAAACATTTTTAAAAGCATATATTCAGCTCCGTATGGATTTTTAACTGTGTAAAACATTTATATTTTGATGCTTAGAGTTTTATGGTATCTTGGAGACAAAAGTTTCCATAGCATTTTTCCTTACCAGGCGTTCTCCTTCTCCAATAAAACCATAGGTTCTAAATCAAATTTCAGGTCCTTGTTCTTACTAGATTGGAAACAGTGAAAGTTCTTACAAATCAAAGCCTTACTTAAACAAATCAGGCATGACATGTCTAGGCATAGTCCAAAAAATGCAGGGACAGATGGAATATCTGGATTAAGATTTTGTTCTGTGTCACTGCATTTCTGGGATGAGTATGTATATATCTGTGGCTATAGCAGATAGATAGCAAGAGAGACCTTTTCTTTTTTTTTTTTTTCAGAATAGATAAATAAATAAGAATTAAATAAAAAAAAAAATCTAGGGACCCTGCATATCCTCTACATTCTGGTTTTATTTCATAGCAAAATATTTTTTTTCTATCAAAGGTTTTCTCCTTGAGACTAGAGTATTTGCTACAGTCTGCATTTATATAGAACAACTCTCTGTCATTTTATCTAAAATAGATCTGTTTGTGGCAGGATGAATTCTTACAACAGCTTCAGCTTGCTCATCAACCTTGGATATTGCCGAGTGACACCGAAAGTGAAGGAGTGGAAGCTGACCAAGACAAATGTAAGTATATTTGTTAGGATTAGATAATATTTCAAAAACCTCAAACTTTTAACTTCTCTTTTTCATATCTTCAAATCCTGTGAAGATGTCATGCTTGCTCACAGGAGCTTTTCTCATAAGTACCAATTACTCATTTGTTTGAGGGCTGAACTTTATCGGATTGATTTACATAAGCTTTTCCTACAGTCACTGAACAATGACAAGATGATCGCAGACCACAGTTTACTTAGCTAAGTGAAACAATTTGTCCTGATGTGTTTAAGTAGCTGTTCCAGAGAAGTAGCATGAAGTTGAAATAGGTACTCTGTTTAGTAGTTCTGTATTGACCAGCAGAAAAAAACAGTAGCTGTGAAAAGTAGAGCCTTCCTCCTCAGGCCTGTGGCTCCATTATCTCTATTTTGCTTGCATTCTTTTGAATTCCTCTGTATGAAAAAAAGTTCTTAATCACACAAGTAATCCTTAATATCCTACACTCTTTGAAGCAGTTCTCTAATCAAGAAAGCAAAGGTCAGCAGGATCATAACCTAAATGACAGAACAAGTCACAACAAGTAACATGCTATAAATTGCAGAACATTAAAAGTATAGGAATTTCTATCTGCCTACCAGGTACCTGTAAATAATCTTGCTGAAAATATTAAATGTTTTGCATTTTCTTTTTTTAATTCATGGTAGATTTGTGGTCTCTGAGGGTGAATATGCAAACTATTTCCTTTTGGTGATATACCTGAAAAGAACAGATGATTTAATCAGCATGTTTAGAAAACTTAATACATTCTACTAAAACTGCTTTAAACATGGACAGTTAAAATAAGAAAGCCGATTTTTTCACAGAATGGAACAGCTGTATCAGGGATTAATGATTAATAACAATTATGTCATATAAACAGAATATATTTTTAAATTATACCACTTAAAAAATTAAGAATTTTCTATTCATATATCAGTTTCACAATTCCATATGTAGCCTGGGGTTTGACTATGAAATTTCAATTTTCATAATGAGACACTAAAGAGCGTGTGCTAGGGTTTTTTAACATTAGTACAGTGTAAAAATAAAGTTCTGTGTGTCCAGCTGATTTTAGTCCAAAGCCAAAGACTTGCTCCTGAACCTTTCACTTATCTTTAGGCTGAAGGTCACCTTAGGTGGCCAAAGGGACATCCTGGTACCCACCTTTTCTGTGCACGTGAATTTTCCTCTGTATTTTCTTCATTGAATTTACAATCACACAAACAGTGGTAGGACTAGCTGTGCACACATAGACTGGTGCTAATAATGTCATCAGGGAGACTGGTGCTTCAGGACACATCAGATGCACATCGTGGTTCTTTTATAGCTGCTGTACCTGAGCTGCATGGGTGTGGGGACTTCTGAGCATCCAAGATCCTGTGCTATAAGAGTCCAAGAATCCTGATAGATCATCATCACTGCCCAATGTGACAGAGTGGTAAATTATAGATAAAAGTTTCAGTCCTACCACCAGATCAATAGAGATGGTAGTTGCCTGACTAATAACAATTGTTTTTCCTTGATCCAATGGCACCGAGAACAGAGAAGGTAAAGAAGGTAGCCGTAAGCTATAGTTTCTGACCAAAAGTTAAAGCATGTTATTAAGGGCATTGCCTCTTAAACACTGACAGGCCTGAGGCATCCACCACCTCTCTAGGAAGCCTGTTCTAATGTTTGACCAGCCTCTCAGTAAAGAAATACTTCCCAATGTCCAGTCTAAACCTGCCCTGGTACAGCTTTGAACCATTCCCACACATCCTATCACTGGATCCCAGGGAGAAGAGCTCTGCACCTCCCTCTCCAATTCCCTTCCTCAGGAAGCTGTAGAGAGCCATGAGGTCACCCCTCAGCCTCCTTTTCTCCAAACACAGACAAGCCCAAACTCCTTAGCTGGAAGGATACGCCTTCCAGCTGCCCACCAGCTTTGCTGCCCTCCTCTAGAAATGTTGAAGGACCTTCACATCCTTCTTAAATTGTGAGGTCCAGAATGGCACACAGTACTCCAGGTGAGGCTGCACCAGCACTGAACACAGCAGGATAATCACCTCTTTTGATCAGCCGGTTATACTGTGTTTGATGCCCCCCAGGATGCAGTTCCCCCCTTCGCTGCCGGGGCACACTGCTGATTCCTATTGAGCTTGCTGTCAACCAGCACCCCCAGATCCCTTTCTGCAGTGCAGCTCTCCAGCCACTCCTCTCCCAATTTGTACTTGTGCCTGGCATTACTCTGTCCTAGGAGCAGAATTGGCATTTGGACTTGTTAATTTAATCCCATTAATCATTGTCCAATGCTCCAATCTATCTAGATCCCTCTGCAAGGCCTCTTGTCCCTCAAGAAAGTCAACAGAACCTCCCAGTTTGGTTATCATCAGCAGACTTGCTAATGGTGCATTGAACTCCTGCATCCACATCACTGATAAATATATTGAACCGAACCAGCCCTAGAATTGAAGCCTGAGGAGCACTGCTGGTGACTGGTTGCCAGTCAGATGTAGGCCCATTCACTACAACCCTCTGAGCTCTGCGCTTCAGCCAGTTCTTCACCCAGCGCACCATGAACCCGCTCACCCCACAGTTGGACAACTTGTCCAGAAGTTTACTGTGAGGCGCAGTATCAAAAGCCTTACTAAAATCCAGAAAAACTACATCCACCACCTTTCCTTATCCACTAGGTGGGTGACCTTATCATAGAAGGACATCAGATTAGTTGTTTTAACTTTCCCTTTTGTGAACCCATGTTGACTGTGCAGTTAACTGTGGTGTAGATAACTGCTGCACCCTTTATAGTAGGTCAGTGTTTCTACTAATACAACTAAAGGAGTAGGAAAAAAATGTTTGATCAAAGCAATACTTTCTGTATCTGAAATTTAATACGTTATTAAAAATAACAATAAGAATGTTATCATACCCATCTAAGGTTGTATGCTAGTGTCACTGGCAAGCAGAAAGTGCAGAACTGCCACTGCTGACAAAGCAAGGCTGCCAATTCCCAGTTGTAAAGTGGGGAGTGAGTGCGGGGCTTGGCATACTTGCTGATGCCAGTGCTTGTAGGCAGAGCAGCTGGCAAGATTACACATCATTTTTCACCCTAAAGTTAATAAATCTGTGTGGATGTTGTGTGTGTGATTTAGTGTTGAGGGGGCCCAAGAGTTCATAATTTATGAGTCTGAGCAGAAGAGCTGCAAAATTAATCTTTACAATAGCAACACCTGTTCTTTGACTCAGCTTTTAATAAATTATATGTGGATAATATTTACCACATTCTTTGACTACTTTGAGATAATAGCAGCCAGGTGTAAAGCTAGTTTTTGGTAGTGGGAAAATTAACAATGCAAAAAGAGAAGATATGTGAGTCACTGAGTTCTTTTAAATTAATACCTTCTGGTTAGTGTTCTACAAGAAAAAAAATGAAAAAATTTAGGCGTAACAGTTTCCAGTGCAGTCAGATGTAGGAGTTTAAAGAGGCTATTTTGAAAGCCAATGATAGCTGAACAGAATTGGGTCACTTTGGCATCTGAACCTCTCCCAACAAACATCATTTGCAAAACAGATATGACAGCACACATCTTGTCTTATGGAAATGAGAGCTAGGTTCTCAGTTCTTGTAAATCAGACTTTCCTTTCTAAATCCTTCAGGCTCTCTGACAGCATTTTAAGAATTTATCCTTATCAGCAAGATCCAAAGATAACTGGAAGTCAATAATTTTTAAAGCTTCATACCAATTATGACAAAATTTGAAATCAAATAGGTACTCATATGAAAGAGTATAAATGATTACAGGTTAAAAGATTTGTTATCTTAAAGAAGTAAAGAAAAGCATTTTCAATCATTTCATTGTTGATTTTTTTAGCATACCCTCTCCGTCTTCCTCTTTACATGCTTAATCAAGTTTGTGGCCGTATGTCAGAGATGGAGAGATAGGTGTATAATTATCTGCTCTTGTAATGTAAATTTTGTTATTAAAAAATAGGAACCAACACATGCTTTTTAAAGAACTACTGTCATTTAGTGACTAAATTTCTTCTGCTTGCTAGATGGGTTCTCCTTTAATACTTTGTGCACACTGAATAGAGAGGAGTGAAAATAGCCAAGGTGATATGATCCAAAATCAAGGGTTTGTGGTTTTTTTGTGATCTTAGTGTCACTAAAACACCTGTAGATGGGGCCTCACGTGCCTTTCTCCTCAGCTGTCATATTGAAGACAGTTCCCCATTATTACCTGCAGTAGTTTGCTTGTGTGCTGATTCTCTGCAGAGAGTTTTCAGAAGATGCATAGAGATCATTTGTGGAAAATATTTGCCACTTCCACAATAGTTCAGTTTGGTGAGAGTTCTTTGAGTGGGCAAAAATAATTTTCTTCTTTATGGAGTCCTGATGCAAGGAGACAGAAGAGCTGCACCTACAACCAGCAGAGCATTTCTTAGCCAGCTTTTATGAGAAAAAATTTGGCCTTTCAGGCGACTGGCAAAAGTCAGCTTGAATTTTCCCTTGAGAACAGGTCCTACAAATACTGCTGGTTAGGAACTTCTAATGCATCACTTGCTTCCAAGAACCTTGAAAAGACAAAGACAGTCTTTTGGTGTAATTTGACTTACTATCTCTAGTCCTGGCATAGACATATTACCTAAAAGCCCGAGTCTGCTTTCTTGGGTGCATAACTCAAGAAATAACTCCCACAGCAGATTTCCCCAGGTCTCACAGCTTTGGACACGGAGCATCCCTACCTGCAGTCAGTCCATTTGGCACATGTACATGATAAGTGAACAGTGTAGACTCGTAGTGAATTTGCTACTTGGTTAATCCATATTAAATATATACATATTTGTATATGCATTCCTTTGGCCTAATCCACTTAAGGCATGTCAGTTTCTGTAGTCAATGGCACACTAAGTGGTGCGAATATTACCACTTCACTCTAACTTCAACTTTCCAACAGGAGCACTAGATGCTCATTTCTATCTCAGCTGATTTGAGACAACGCTTGAACTCTCACCTACTAACCTGTGGCAAGCAACTTAAATGTTTTGCCACTAATACATCTGCAAACTCTTTTCTAAGTTTGCAGTAGAAGGTCTACTGCTGATAAATCAAAGCTGAGTGTTGGGGAAAAGTGTGATTTCCACTCCATCTATTTTTGTACTGGTCTTGAAACTCTGCAGTCAGAGACATTCTGCTGATGACTTCAACAGGTATTGAAGAAAACCTTCATTGTCCCATTCTGCACAAATGTCCACCTAGGAAAAACACCGAAAGGATGAGAGACAGTTTTTTGTAGAATCAAGAAATTCAGACTGTGTTCCAGTAAAATTCCAAACCTTACAATATTTGTACACACGTAAAATTCCTTACATTGAGCAAATTCACATGGCTAAACAGTTAGTTTTTCTTAATTATGAAAATTATTGTACCTAAGATTTGGAAAATTGCTTGATCAGAGTTGATAATAATAAAGAGTTTACTGCTGGAATATGTTTTTGCTGTGAAAATTTCCTTTTGCTCGAGTCAGGTACTACCCAGTATGACTAAGAATGACAGAATCAGGCTTAGAACAGCAACTGTTGATTGCAACCTTTATGACATTATCACAAACACATTCCATTTCTGTCAATCAAATTCAGCTATTTATTTGTGTTCTGCTCTGATGGAGGATAGCAGTACCGGCAACATCTCTCTCAGTGGGTATGAGTTTAGGGCAAGGCTAGATTTGGTTTCTCTAGGGAGTAAGGTAGTTCTGAGGCATTGCTCAAATGTGTTAGTCAACGATATGTCTGGTTAGTAAGAACATAATATTTGTAGTTGGAAATTTTCCCCAATGAATAGTAAATTCACTATAAATATGCACTTTTTTGTCCCAAAAGCAAATCAGGGTTGAACTTCTAGGTGACTGGATTCCAGATTCATTAATCTTCTGGAGAAATGTACTGGTATCTTTATTTCATTTAATATCTCAAGGGTGGTAGTATAAATTGGAGTAAAGAAGTCATATCTCCCCATCCCACATAACGTTTCTAGGGAGTGTCGTGAAGCTTTTTTCTGCTTAGGGTATGAGTCATTTTCCAAATTTCTCCAGTGTGCACTTAGGTATGTTAAAGAAGATACATTGTTTGTCATTCTGCCTACCAGTGTCTAGCTTGGTATTTTAGCTTGAGACAGTTCTATGTCCATCCGCTTCAGAAATGGGATACCAGTCAGGATTGTGTTCCTGTAAACAGAATTTCTCCAGAGCTATTGGATGGTCTTGGCTGGATGTCTTGTAACACCTATAGCTGAAGCTGCACCATTTCATATAACTGCTTTTTGAGCCTGAAAATGGGAGAAAGCAATTGTCTAGCATGGAAACATGTCCACTTGAATTTAATTATTTATAGATAGTGAAACAAAAGTAGAGACTGACATTATTTCTGCCAGAAGTTAGATGACTGTTGGATAGTGAGGGGAGAGTTCAAATACAACTAGAGAATGTTGGAACTAGACTCAAGATTCCTGTTTTTTAAATGGATGTGCTTAAACCCAAAGCTGCCATTGTCTCCTTATACTGTTAAGGCTTTAGCTCATGTCACTTTGTTTCTACTGATTAATATTTGGTTTCATCTTGGAAAAATTTGCATTGAGCTAAATTTGGGAGGAGGGAATTTCCCATTGCAGTGAAGAAAAAAATTCTCAAAAATTGTTTCGGTGCAGAAAGCTGTTTTCAGTAAAGCTTCCAAACCCAAGGATATCTTTTTCTGCAACTTGCATTATTATGGTAAATTTGGATTCCCAAAGACATTTAATGTAATAAAAAATGACACTATAATTTAAAAAATGGCATAGAGAATTATCAGGGCACACATTAGGTAAATTAAAAGCTGGCTCACTGAGGAATCAAACCCTAGAGTTTCAAATGGGAAGATGTAGATGAGTGGGGCTCATTAGGGTCTGATACTTTTGGATAATTGGTGGGAAGGACAAGTTGAAGTTATTAAATGATATGAATCCCCTGGTATAATGGCCACATTCCAGTAAAATGCACTTTATTATAACCAGATGAAATATATTTGAACCAAATGAAATATATCTGGCACCAGAGAAACATATCTGTCTCTGCTGCAGAATAATGAGGCTTTGTCCTGGAAAGCAGTGACCTAATGGATTTAGGATGATCATAGAAGATCATCTCAGTGTGAGCTCTCAGCATAATGCTGTCACAAAGAAGGGTAGACCGTTCCTTGAATGCCTAAAAAGTTAAGTAGCAAAATAGTTATTCCACATCATATCAGTAAAAAACTGTGGATTTGCTGTCTTGCAATTAAGAAAGATTGGAATTACTTGAGACATTTCAGAAGATGATTAAAATCGACCCAGGGTTTGGGAAACCCTTTTAGGAGTTCACCTTACCTGACGGCATTCAACTAGGAATCTCTGAGATGATTTGGCATCTATAGGTAGATGTTTAAATAAAAAAGATTCAACTCATCAGACTGCGACAAAGGAAATAAAATGCTGTGTCCTAGCAACTGGGAGCCTTAAGCATTGTAAGCAAAAGTTAAGAGAGGCAATGAACTTGGAGTCATTAACATGAGGCGATACAGCTTTGTAAATGACAGGTGATAGATAATCCAGCAGGAGCTTCTGTGGGCTCTACACAGGTATATGGGAGATCAAGCTAGATGATCGCAGCAAGAGATTTCCATTTTCAGTTGCTTTCCTGGACACTGCATGTTAGGTATTGATAAAGATGCACATAATAGAATAGTCATGATTCTACATTTGTATTACCTGTTGTCTTACAAACCCTTGAAGATGGGCATAACTGTATGGACATGGAAACACATTTTTGTGATCTAAGGTTTATTCTAGTGATTTTTAACTGCAAAGCTCACCCCTAGTTGTTTTTATTATCATAATTTATTACTTGGAATATAAAGGTCATTTACTTGAGAAGTCGGGGTGCCTCTATATAAAGTGATGGCTGTCCTTGTAATCAAAAAATATACACCGGGGAAATATAAGATATGACAGTTTGGATTAATATTGATCATAACAAAGATATTAATAAAATGCTGTTAAACTTTACTGTGCTCTAGATAGTCACAGAAGTTTGTGCAAAGCACAAAATATGTTCATGCTAATTTTATCTGTGTGAATGTTCAGTATTAAATGGCAGTGCATACAATAACAGTAATATAAATATTTTGCTTTTAAAAGATTTTTTTTGATTCAAAAACATTTGCAAGTGGAGTTCTAAGCTTTCAGGAAAAAAAAATATTGGCTGTACTTAATTTTTGAATTCCAGAGTTCTATGCCTTGTATAAACCACTCTGGTTAGATATACAGATAACATCAACAGATAATCATCTGTGCTCATCCCTAAGAAAATGTACTAGGCTTTATTAGAATTTTGTTCCAAAATAAGAATATAAACATATATCGATTTACATATGTCACAATAAAAATACTTCACTAGCTGTATATTGATATAACAGGCTATACACATATTGATACAAGAACTTTGATTTGAATCACAAAGTATAGTGTATGTGTTGAAACACAGGTTGTTTAATATGGTGCTGTTAAAAGATCAGTCTGAAAGGATATAATTAAAGATGATAAACTTCTAGGAAAGTAAAGCTCTTCTCTAATATTAAACAATTTCTGAGAACAAAATAAACTAAAACTTTTACTCACTAATCACGGATAACCAGTTAGCCATTATAGCAAAGAAATGTAACTTTTTAATGGGAAGGCAGCCTAATATGCTGCATATTGATGAAGGTACTTTAATTAAATCACTTGATTCAGTTTTGGTTGTGTCAGATTGATCCATCCCCTTTTAGAGATTGGTCTTCCAAAACATTTGTTGAGTAAAGGTAACTTAAAGGTAGGTCTTTGTGAAGGCATGCAGTGAACTGAGAACTGATCTTGTTGAAAAAATGTCTGAGTAAATAGAATATTTTAACTCAGATAATTCAGTCCTGTGTTGTTGCTCACCCCTCTAGCTGCCCAGCATTTGTGTTGTGTGAATCAGGAGGAGCTATGGAGAGTATGTGAGACTGACAGTGGTGAGCTGAAACTCTTTCAGCTGGCCTTTCAGCCAAAAAATGCTCGTGAAGCAATACCACTATGGTTTTAGTAAAGACAAGTGACTATAAACCTGTGAAAACAGTGAGATGCAAAGTCATCCTATGGAACTGCGTCTGGCCTTAGAGGGGCATATCAAGGAGCCTGACTGGGGGACTGCTGTCCAGATTTTCCAGTTGAAAGGAACTGTGTCCTTCATAGTACAGAGCATTGGAAAGAGCTGGGGACCAAATTATGCTGATGGGCTTATTCTTTCATGCCTTTCTTGATTCCCTTGTTTGCCATGCTGGCTGAGTGCTTTCACTGCAGGCCAAGACGACCTTGCTGCAAACCTACATGTGCTTTTTATTCCATTTAATTGTCCCAACTTTTTTCAAGAGCTATCAAAGCTAGTCATCTTTCACCAGTACCTTGTGTAGTCATTTACAGCAGTGAAGAAAGAGCACAAAGTAGCCTTGAAGTACTACCAAAGCACATTGGTCATGTTCTACACCTACTTTTCACTCAATATTGTTTGAATGTAAATGACCCCATGAAGTGTAAGACCCAGGCAGCAGCAAACAGGGAGTACATCCATTTGCATTAAATAAGGCCTTGAAAGGCTTTTGGCTCCGCAAACTGATTGATTTAGCAGAGGGGGCAGATTGCTCCAGAAACCAGAGAAAATGTAGAATGCTTGACTGTAATCCCAGGATGCACACATGACCAGAAGGTGAAGGATCTATGAAATAAATCTGAGGGTTTTTTTTTTCTTTGGCCCAGTATCCTCCAAGCTCTAAAAAAAAAAAAAATTAACACACCTTAGTATCCTATTGCTGTAAATGTGTTTTACAAGACCAGGATTTATTCTAAGCCAAACCTATAGAAATTCCTCTTTTATCATGAAGAGGAAGGATTTCAAATTCAAGTAGGAAAAGCTCCGTAATGGAAAAGGTTAAGATTTTGTGACATAATTATGGTGACTGTTCTTGACCCTGTCAGGGAGAAAATCCACGAATGTGAAGACTAGGGGAGAGGGAGACGAGAGTCTTAATCCTTGATATGTGACTTCTGTCCATTTTGGTTAAGTCTTGTTTGGCAATGCGTAGTGCCAGTGTGAGTATTACAGCAGGATCTGGGCAACCCTTATTTTCTCCCTGTCTTTTTTCCCTGATCTGCGAAGTAGGATGATAAAATGTGATAACTGACAGCAAAGCTATGAGAAATCACCACTTAATGTTTCTAAAATGTGTCATGAGTCTGGGCCCCAATTCTGAGGTCTCTCTGTGTTTCTTCCTGGTGTGATTTCACTAAATTTAAAATGGCTGTAGTTTTTCAGTTATTTTCCCCAAGACAGTCCATGGTGGCTTCCTGCTTGTATTAACTACTTTTAAATTAGTCAGTCCCTTTTATATTGGAGAAATCAGCCTGTTGGGGTATGACTCATCTCACCTACCTTCAGCTATATAAAACTGGGAGAGTCTAGTCCAAGCTATTTGTTCTCTGAAGTAAGGAGAGAAACAAAGGGAGCTCAGAGGACAGCTAGAGATCTGTCTTACTGGGGGACTGAGGCAGGTACACTGCATCCCTTCACCCCCTCAAGGGTGTCCTTCATCTCTTGCATCTCCACCTTGACACTTCTCTGTCTCATGTCAGCTGAAAGTTGATTTGATCTTGCTAATATCATTTCTCATCAGTCAAGAATTCTGTAATGGATATGGAATATATTTTCTGGCTGGCATCCCAGTTCCTTCTACAGCTAAGAAGACCACAGTCCCTGGAGTTCTTGTGGGTAACAGTCACCAGAGGAATCTGCAAATAAAACAGGCTCATATATATTTGCTTTTCTTTCCCCCCCCTTAACACAAATTTGTTACTTAAAGATCAAACTGTGACAATGTTGAATATCTGCTAAATGAAGTGCCTCCAAGGAAAACAGTTGTTAAACATTACGTATAAATGACAAAGAAAATACATATAATAATAAGAACTGTTGCTAAGATTTCCTAGGCTTTATTTCTTTTCTTTTTTTTTTTTTCTGATGCAGAGGTTTTCATGGTATGTACCTTGCTCTGTTGAATATCGGTACAGTATCATATAAAGTCCAGGCTCATCACCTGGCAAAGTGTAATTTAAAGATCTTGTTCCAGTTGTATTTAATTGATTAGCTGGAGATAATGGGAATAGTTTGCTCCTGCCAAGTTTCTTTAATCTCCCAAAGAGGGGTTGCATATTTCTGTGTTCAAAAGGAGTGAATAAATGTGAAGCTGCTGTGCCTGATTTCCTTCAGTGTTTAAAAATGGCAAGATGAAGGCTTCTAAGGTAACATACAGACCTTTCTGCATTCAGCTGTGTAACTGAATGTGGTTGTGGTGTTTCCGGTTTATAACCCCAATTCTCTAACTGGATCCATGTAATAGGGCCAGTTGCAGCATTACATCTTTTACAAACATTTGGAGGGAGCAGGTTGTGTTATAGTTGGCAACATTTGCAAAATTATGTTTCAATATGCGTATGTAAATATTTGTAAATCTAAATTTTCATTTTGCTTTGGGGGAGGTTTGCAACCCGAATACAATCAGAAATGAAAACATTGCTGTCTCAGCTTAGCTGATTCACCCCAGTTGCCTATTATGTTTGATGCGTTTTGCAACGCTGGTCATTTTTTGCAATCTATTGCTACTATTGAAAAAGAAGCAACAGAAAACCCCTCCAAACCACTGAATAATTGGAACAAAGAATATAACTAAAGAAGCTGTGATTTGCTTCTGAATATTGTAGAAAGGAAAAAAAGTCACGATTCATCAAAATACTGATCAATGTTACTTATTTAACTGTGAGTTCAGCATTATGGAAAACGTTTACAAAATGCAAGCACACTGAAGGATTAATTTTCCCTTTTATCCTGTTTTTGTGTACATTAAATTTTAGCCCTAATTTCTGTGTTTTTCTGTTTGATTTCACAGGTTTGTGAAATCAGTGGGATTCTTGAAGAACTGTTTAATTAAAACAAAATTACGGTGATCAAAACTACACCTGAAAATTTGCTTTAGTTTATACATAATAATTTTAAATAAAATTATTTTTCTAGTATCAGCAGTGCATAAGTGGAACCGCT